AGAAGGCCCTTTGCTGGTCCCTGGAGCCACAGACCGGGGACCACAGGCTCTCTGTTCATTCACTGCGAGCGCCAGATGCCAGGGACAGAGGCATAGCCTGGGTGTTTGTATCCTAACACCGTATGTCCTGGGGGTATGTTTGGGGAAGCCCTCGGAGTCTGGGAGGCTCTGAGCTGGATCCAGTTGCCGTGAACCTCGGCTCCTGCAGTGTCTGGGTGCTGTGGAGCCCTGCGCAGCCCCTGCCAGATGCTGGCGCTTGGGAGAGTGGGCCGAGTTCAGCTCTGCCGTCTTCCTCCTCCGTTGCGCGCGTGGGGAACTGGGGGCGGACCCAGGGTCTCCAGCAGTGAGCTTCACCCTCGCCGCTTTACTCTTCTCATTTTGAGACAGGGTCTCGGGGCGCTGCCCAGGAGGGGACTGGCTGTGGGGAAAGGCGCTCGCCATAGGCACACTCTCCGTGCAGTTATTTCCACACTCTTCCTCCCTCCTCCCTGCCCTGCCCAGGGAGGCAGAGCCCTCCCACCACCGTGACAGACTCCCACTCGTGATGGGCATGGTGGTCGTTCATCCCAACCCCAGGATCCCAGCTGGGGTGAGAATCTCGCTCTGGCCAGTGAGGAACAGTGCACCTCAACCCTGGGGCCCAGGCAGGGCCGAGTGACGGGGTGCAGGGGCTCCTCACATGCTCCCTCCTCAGGGGTCCCTCACCCATGCTTGTGGGTTGGGGTCTACTGAGGCCCAGACCCGTGGGACATGGCAGTGGCAGAGCAGACACCAGAGTCCCATCCCTTTGTTGTTCCGCTGTGCCTGATGGTCCCCAGCCCAAGTTCCAGATGCAAGAGACGTTCCCTTAACATGCACTCAGCTATCCAGAGCCCAAGAGCTTCTGTCCACAGCCAGGCAGTCTGCTTGTGACCTTAGGGGCAACCTACGGGATGTGCCTCTGCGGCCACCCTGCAGCTACCCTGCACTGGCCCCAGCGCGAGCCAGGACACTTGTCCAGCTGTCATCATAGCTTTGTTTCTATAAAGAAGATCGACTTCGAGGACCCCGACCCATGGCCTGCCGCCTTGCCACCCACTCTGAAGCCTCAGCCATGGCAAGAGCCCTCCCTACCTCTGTGAAGGAGCCATCCTGCCCAGCCTGTCCCCAGGTGTCCTTCTGGGCTGTCTCATTCCTCTTTCCTTTTCTCTTCACGCCCCAGCCCCACAAATCCCAAAGCAAACTGGTGCCGACTTCAGCTGACATCCGACCGCCCAGCCTGTGTCGCTTGTGGCAGCCACTGCTGATACAATCTGCTTCCCGATGGCTCTGGGTGCTGTCACTTCCTCTGCCACACAGTTAGGGCATGCTCCCCGCCTGCTCAGGGCCACCCAGCGAGGCAGTGGGTCAGGCCCGACAGTCTCCCAGCAGAAAGTGTGCATGTGTGGGTATGTGTGGGGAGCACTCACATCAGCTGTGTGACTGGAGGCTCAGCTCACCCAGGGCTGCAGTGAAGCCAGAAGCCTCTGCTTTGCACAGTGGTCCACGCTGACCTCCAAGCTATTCTGCTCTGTGCTCTGGGCCGTGGGCCTCACTCTGCCCCACTGGCCACCCGCCACCTCGGTCCGGCTGGAAGAGCCTGTGGTAGATCCCATGGTACTGGCCTTGCCCATCTCCACAGTGACAGCATGCCAGCCACAACCTCCCACCTTGAGCCCCAGCCCAGTCCTGCTGGTGGCTTCTCTGTCCAGCAAGGAAGCCTGGTGATTGTCCTGGCATCCTTCCAGCTTGTTAATTTGAGACCTGGGGCTCTGACGCCCCTGTGTGGGTCAAACAGAACAGATGTGACAGTCACTAGGGGCGCTCTGAAGTTGCCTGTGGCTGGTGCCCACCTCCTCCCACCCACACCACTGTGTGCCGGACCTTCTATGATTGCTAGAAGGAAAGTCGTAGTGATAAGAGCATTGTTGTAAAAACCAAGAATGCTGAATCTTAAAATATCATGGGAATGTTCAGTCAGAAAATGGGGAGAAGAGAGTGGCGAGGCCCCAGCATGCGTACCCCAGCTTCACTGTCCTGCCTACCTCTACCTCGTACCCTGGGGAGGGTTTTGAAGCCGACCCTGGATGCCATGTCTAGGGTAGATAGCTTGCTTGCTTGCTTTTCATTTGTGCAGGCTGCCCTTGAACTCACTCTATAGTCCAGGCTGGCTTTGAACTCATGAAGATTCTCCTGCTTCAGCCTCCTGAGCGCTTGCATCACAGGTGTGCGCCACCACACCTGGCTCAAAATAGCTTCTGTCTGCCAGGTGTGTAATTCCATTGTCCCTCCCTCCCAAACAGGCCTCATCAGCGCTCAGTGAGAAATAGCTGCTGGCTTTCCTGGGCTCCCCGAATGCTCAGACTGTAGCTCAGATGGGGTCCGGATGCTGTGTTCAGTTGTTGTGTCTCTCGAGATAGGTGAGCCCCATGGCCTGGGGGACCCATGCAGGGGCTGAGCAGCACAAGAGTCCTGCTGACTGCTTGCTGTTGGTCTGCCAGCCCTGTCACTTCCACATGTCACCTCACAGCCCTGCAGACCCCTGAGACATCAGCAGAACTCCACACAGAGAGCCTGGCTGTCCCTAGAGGGACCGGGTCTGGACCTGGAGCCTCTAGACTTGTAGAAAGGGCGAAGGCTCACGTGGCTTTCTGACATTTCTGAGAGCGTATGGTTGGTCAGCTCACGTGGCTGCTTCTGTGGGTCAGAAATGGCAGCAATTTTATGTAGTTCACCTGTCTAAAAGGAACCAATTATATTTTAAACAAGAAATAAGAACAAGGCATGATGACCCATCCCTGCAATGCTAGCATTCTAGGAGCCCGAGGCAGGAGGATTCCAAGGTCCAGGCCTGCCTGGGTGACTGGGTGACTAAATGAGAGCCTTCTCTGGACTGGGGGGAGTGGCTCTGTGGGGGGCCTTGGGTTCAGTTTCCCAGGAAACTGCACAGGAAAACATGTAGGGGCAGGAAGTGGGTGAGGGAGCACACTGCCGCTCTGCCGGCTGGGGTGTGATGGGGGCTGCAGGACAGCCCAGGCTGTCACTGTGTAGTGGGCGTGGCGGCTTCTTCCTGGGACAGCTTCGCTGAGCATAATCCACACGGCCCACCGTGCCCGCTTGAGTCCTTGGTTTTCAGCAGTGTCACGGAGCCGCCACAGCGCAGGCTGGCCTCCCCTTCAGGTCGGGAATATGCAGGCTTTGCACTTTCTCAGACTCGGTGCAGTCTGCACCCCGGAGGAGGCGTCTTGGAGGCGGGCCTGAGCTCACAGGTGAAATCCCTGCCACACTGCCCGGGCGCCCCGCACATAACCCAGACGGAACATCCCACAGCCTCCCGTGAGAGCCGTTTTCCTAGTGACACAGCTGACGTACCTGTGTGGCGCAGTCCCATGGTTTGAAGCCTGCGTTCAGCCTGAGCTTTGCCGCCTTTAACGTCGTCTGTGTGCTGGGAATCTTGGAGCCCCTCCCTGCCGTTCCTTGTAAAACCAGGCTGGAGATTTAACTCAGCAGCGTAAGTGCCTGCCTGTCAAGTGTGAGGTTGTGAGTTTGATTCCTGGTTCCACGAAACAAAACAAACAAACAAACAAACAAACAGAAAAACCACGATGAACCCCGGGAGCCACAGTGGCTCTGCTGGCTGCAGATGCTGGGACGCACTGCTGCCTGTCCGCAGTGCTCCACCTGCGTCTGTGTTCTCCCTGTCAGTGCTTTAGGTCCCACGTGGAAGTGAGATGTTATTCCCTTATTCTCTAGTTCTGTCTGCACTGCTGCAGATGAAAGAGTTTGTTCTTTTGTGGCTACATAGTATTCCATTGCGTGTGCAGGCATTTTCTGTGCCCCGTCTCTGGTGTGGACACCTCCATGGAATCCTGATCTCTGCTGTTGTCATGGTGCTGTATCAAACTCGGGAGTGCAGGGACCTCTTCGGGATAGTTTAGATCTGTAGCCAGTTGTGCAGTCCTGGACCTATGGGAGTTCTGGTTTTCAGGTTTCTGAGGAACTCCTGCACTGCTCTCAGTGGCGGATAAGCTAATGCACGTTCCCGTCGTGCAGTAGTAAAACTCAACTGTTTGTTGCAGCCCTGGTGATTGAACCCAGGGCCTTTGCACTGAGTTGCCCCTCAGTCCCGTTTCCATCTGGGGACAGCATCACTGAGTTGCCGAGGTGGGGCTCATCGTGCAACATCTTCTACTCATGGTGTCATTTTTGTGTTTGAAGAGTTCTTTGGAGCATTGAAATCCTTAGATTAGGAAATGTGCTTTTAAGCTGTGCAGTCAGTTTTGGGACATTGTTGTCGCCCCTGTGTCCCGTCGGAGCTGCTTCCACTGCTCCCTCACCCCCTTCTGTGGGGACCCAGGGAGCTGCCTCCTGTCTCTGCAGATTGGCCTGTTCTGGAGACTCCTGTGGGTGGCACCATACAGTGTGTGGCCATTAGTGCCTGTCCCTTCTGCTGCCGTTTCTAAGGCTGATCTGTGTCGCCGCACGGGTCAGTCGTCCCGGGGTGGACATGCCACACTTGGTTCATCCCTTCATCACTTGCTAGGCAGTGGAGTTGCTTCGTCTTTTGTCTCCGGAGCTGCAGAGCTCGGGAAGCCCGCTCAGGGTTCTGCTGGACATGCATCTTGTCTCTAACCTGAGTGTGGATGGCCCTAGACCTCCCTGTGGCTGCCACGTCCAGCTCCCGTGAGCAGGGGTGCCAGCAGCTCTCCACGTCCTCACCTGCCTGTTACCGTCTGCCTGTACTGGGCAGGGTCCATGGAGGTAGCAGAAGGGCTATCACTTCATTAGTGGCCTAGCGTGTCAGCTGGGGTCCTTTGTAAACACTCCCCTGGGCCAGTTTTAAACCGCAAACCTGTTTTGTGCTGGTCACCCCCAGGCACCCTGCTGGCTGCAGCCCTTCCAGCTGGGCGGCAGGCAGTGTTGTCTCCAGGCGGGAAGTAGCCGATCCCGGTCTCCTCTGCCACATTCCCCTTTCTCTGCAGGTGTCACCATGAAGCTCATGGACGAGGTGGCTGGGATTGTGGCCGCACGCCACTGCAAGACCAACATAGTCACGGCTTCTGTGGACGCCATCAATTTTCATGATAAGATCCGAAAAGGTAACAGAGCTCTTCTGACCAAGTGAAGGGGAGGTGCGGTGTGGTATCCCCGTGTGTGGCCTCTGTTTGTGTTGTGTTCACACCTGGCATCCACCCGGGTGCTGTGGAACTCAGGCACACGCTGCACTTTAAATGCATGCTTGCTTTTCTTTTTTTTTTTTTTTTTTTTTTGGTACTAGGGATTGAACTCATGACCTTGCACTTGCCAGGCAGGCACCTGTGCTGCTGAGCTAAATCCCTGGCCTTGGGCGCTGCACTTTAGTCTTGTGAGGGCGTCTGTTGATTGGTTTCAATTTTCAGTCCTGCAAAATACAGAACTCAGAGTGACAGGCCGTTCTCTCCCCAGAGACCCGCACGCACTCCTCCACGTGCCCCGACCCTGTGACGCTCATACACACACAGTGTCCGCACCCGTGCCCGCCGAGCCTGGGACCGGCATGTTTCTTCATGGGGAAGCAGCAGCCCTGTTTGCCTCACTTTGGTGCCCTTGCTGTTGAGGTTTTCCCGTGATGCCCCATGCCCACCAGTGCTTCCTCAAGAGCCCCCAAGGCCTGGCTCAGACCCTTCGTGGCCCTACAGCCCAGCCCTGGTGTCCCCACAGCAGCTGTACCAGCAGAACATGCCTGGCCACTGCTCCTGAGCACTGACTGGAGGTACCCGAGGTGGGAGGGTGCAGGGTGCAGGGTGACCGAGTGCAGAGCTGGTGAACCTCTCCTCCGGGGCCTGGGCTTTCGGGTGAGGTGGACAGTCTGTGGCAGGGTCACGCTCAGCTTTGCAGAGCTCCTTTTTTTTTGTACCGTGGATCGAACTCACAACCTTGCACTTACCAGGCAAGCACTTGAGCCACTGAGCTAAATCCCTGGCCCTACAGAACTCCTTCTTCACCACAGATGGTGGCTCAGACTCCAGTGTCCTTTTTAGAGTTTGTCCCAAATAAGTGGTCAGGTCTGTATCGTGTGCTCTGAACACCAGGTGCAGTGTGGCTTGAGCCTTTGGGAACAAGGATCCACCTCATCTCGAGTCCATGCCTTTCTAGAACTCCTGTCTGGGGCCATTGTGGTGATTAGGGCCACAGCATTAAGTACCAGTTCCAAATCCACAGCAAAGAATGCGACCCTGTTCCCTGGAACCCTGTGTGCACCCATCTCCAAGGGTCTCCAACCACTGAGCGAAGCGCCTGCACCCTGTTTCCCACTCCCCAAAGGTGGGCAGCAGCCTATGCCAGGATTGTGGCAGCCGCTGAGAAGGGCCCCGGCCCTGTACCCACAGCTGGGGTCCCTAGGGTGGATTCAGGAGGGGTCCAGGAACTCCTGGGTACAGGGATTTTGGAGGCCGAGGGAGCCGATCGGACCATCTTCTTAGGAAGCCTTTCCGGGCAGTGCATGCAGAGGACAAGACTTTTTTTCTAGGGAGGCTGTATTGTCCAAGACTCAGCGTGGGTGTCTGTGTCCAGAGCAGGGACTCTAGCGGGGCGGCCTTGGTGGCCTGGCTTCTGTGGGTGGTGGGGATAAGGCTTCACAGTGTGAGGCAGGTGGCCCAGTCCTGTTGCACCTGCTGAGCAGAGCCCTGCTGATATGTGGCACAGTGCCGCCCCTCCGCTAGGGTTCCCCCCTAGCTGTGGTGCGTCGGGGGCAGAGAGGTGGTGTTGCTGTCCTAGATGATAAGGAGGAATTTGGGGCAGGCCGAAGTGACTCTGTAATTGGGCCTGCTTCCAAGCCAGGATCCCCTGGGGCAGACAGCCTGTCACGCCCTGTTTATCATATCTGGAGGAATGTCACCTGTGAGGAACCCAAGGGGGTGATGTCAGGGAGATTCAGCAGCCACTGGTGACATCTATCTTGGGTTCCACCAGGGCACAGGGCGCTGTCACCTTAGACCAGCGCAGTTTCCTGCTCTGCTCCTTTGCATCCCCTGGCTTTGGGCTCCGGTGACACAGGTGCATGTGAGCAGTGGAGTGGGAGGGGGTTGGATCTTGGGGGTTGGACCCTTGCTGGTGCCCAGGTCCCCTGAAAACCCCAAGACAGCCGTGTTCCCAAGCCGCCGTCCCCATACCTTCCCCTCACCTCACCTCGTGCTTCAGCTGGACATGGAAGAGGCGAGACCAGGCCCTACCACCCCCTTGGGGGATCCTGCCAGAACCCCTTCCTGGGAGCTGTGCCATGCCTGGCTGGCCCTGTCCCATGAGGAATGGCGCAGGGTTTCCTGAGGCTGCCACCACACTGACCACACCGTCCCATGGAGGGTGCTAGGGTGCAGGCAGGACCCCTGGACAGAGCCCCTACCCTGGCGCCTTGTGGGGCAGCCACTGAGTGGTTCCTCTGAGACACTTGGCCCCCTCTCGGGCTTGGCAATGGCTCTTTTATTATTTTGTTTTCTTTTCCAAATTCCTGGCACAGTGCTGAAATCTGGCTGCTGCCACCCAGGAGAGACTCCCGTCTGTGGGGGCGACAGCAGGGCACCTGCCAACCCTGGGGCTGCGCCATCCCATGCTGGCTCGTGGTCCATTACACAGATGTGGCTGCCATTTGCAGCTCTCCCACAGGTCTCCCCACCACTGGCGTCATTCACCCCAAGTGCTGGGCCCTGTGCTGAGGCACTGCTCCTGTCCACCTGGAGACCCCAGCTCTGAGCCGGAGGCTGAGTGTCCAGTGAGGCCTGCGGGGTTCTCCAGGAGGAGACTGTCTCCATGGGTTACCTGCTGCTCTGTGTTCACAGCTGTCTAGAACACAGCGGTCCATTGTTGGTGTCTGGCTGCTCTGAGCACTCAGGCTCGAGAGAGGACAGGCAGGTGGACCTGGGAGGGAAGTCCAGGTTCTGCTCTGTGCCTTGTGTGTGACTCAAGCTGGGAGTAAGGCAGAACAGGGTCTGCAACCAGGTGTACCTGGTCTCGGTCTGCACAGTGTCCCCTCAGGGTGACGGGCCTGGAGGTTCCCTGGGTTCTGAGGACCAGACTGGTGTGCACATGGCCATGCTGCTTCAGCCGTCACAGTGCTTCCAGGCCGGGGGACACAGGGTGTCACTCAGATGGACAGGCTGGCCGTGTCAGGCAGGAGAGGCATCCTGGTGTAGGAGGAGGCCCTGCAGAAGGGACACTGAGTAAGGCACAGAGGATGGGCCAGGCTGGCCCTTTGCTGCGGCTAAGCGTGGACCCTGAGGGTCAGGGTGAGGGCTGTGAAGACCAGGTAGGACACTCTGGTCCCCTGGACACACAGGGGGCTGTGTGTCCCCTGTTAACTGGGTCTGCCTGTACCCATCCCAGGGGCACCTCCCATGTCCGGCCCAGGACTAGTGTGGCCCAGAGTGATCACAGGGTCACTCTGACAGGGGCTAAGGCTCAGGTTTGTTGTGGTTGGGGAAGTCCCCACTCACCTGAAGCAGTGTCCTATAACCTGCTGCTTGCTGTCTGGCCCAGGGCTCAGAGAATTGGCCTGCTCGTTTGCAGTTAGAAGTGTCTTTGGATTTCTAGGCACAGATCCAGGAGCAGCCAGTATTGGGGAGGGGCTCTCTCTCCTGGGCCACCACAGAAGGGCACCTTTTCTGTGGTTGTTGGGACCTCACAGCCATGTGCAGAAGCCCTCCCTCCCCTGACCCATGGGCCCCTGACCAAGTTCCAGCCGGCTTGCTCTCGAGGCAGGGTATCCCTGCTTCTCGGCTATGACCTCTGGCTCGTGGTCCTGAGTGACAGGGATGGTTGCTGAGTATCTGGGGAAGGAGGAGAGACATGCTGACCTGGGGTGAGCCTTATTGCCTTGCCACCCTTTGGCTGGCAGACAGCCTCAGCCTCAGGGGGTGCAGTTGCTGTGTCCAGGTGATCGCAGGTGACACCACCCCTCACAGCCCATGCTATGCCACCTGTCACTGACCAGTGGCTTTTTCCTTCCCTCCCAGAAATGGTCGTGTCCAGCACGAAGCTTGTAAGTATGACGTCCAGTGTGGTGTGGAACATTCCGGAACACTGACATAGAGTAGCCGCCCTGCCCCTTTCTCTGTCTCTCTCTGGGTCTCTAAACGTGTCAGTAATTATATGTCAAAGGGCCCCACTGCCAGCACAGATCCCTGCGGAATAGGTGCCCTGGCCCCATGGGTGGGTGGGGGAGGTCTAGCAGGGGTGGTGGCACTCCGGTCACGTTGGCAGGTACCAGCCACACCTCCAAACCCCTCAGTGAATGCAGCCAGGAATGGTGACGTCAGCGGTGACAGTGACGATGTCTGTGGACCGAGCTCCGCAGGGGGTCACTTCCCTGCCTCCCATGGGGCTGAGAAAGAGGTTCTCTGGTGTCCATTTTCGGTGCAGACTGGGCTCTGAGACAAGAGACTGTATGAGGGAAGGAAGGGCCCAGGCCAGGCCATGCAGTGGTCCTGCCCTGCAGTGGGAGGGGCCCAGAAGAGAAGCCCCGGGTTCAAAAGCAGTGGTCAGAGCATGAGCCCAGGTCCTTGAGAAGCAGGGCCGTGCCAGGGTGCCTAGGGAGAGGGAAGGTGGCTCTGGGTTTTGTTGTGGCCACCTGCAGCCATGCTGGATGGGGAAGCAGTGGGCCTGGCAAAAGCCCCAGCACATGTGTGACAGCTCAGAGCACTTCAGGCTCCAGCAGGGTGGAGAGTGGCAAGCAGATGCCAACCCTGCAGCGCTCAAGGTGGGCGGGGTGGGCAGAAGCTCAGAGGAGGCTCAGGAACTTGGAGGCCCCCGTCAGCCCAACAGGGACCCAAGGAGTTGGTCCAGCGAGGGGGATGCATTGTTCCAGAAGGTTCTTCCGAGTGCTTGGAGCAGTGTGAGGGGGCCGCAGTGTGGCATAGTAAGACCACGGAGAGGACCAGACGCCGGTCACAGGTTTGACCTTGTGCTAGGTGGGGCCAGACTGCTCACACCCAGAACCCCGCTGGGGCCTTCCTCCATGGCAGGCGACATCGAGGGCCCCCGGGGGTCCTCTGTGCAGCACAGGGAGATGATGTATGGGCTACTAACGCGCGTCTGATCATGTGTCGTCTAACTCCCTGTCATCGCTGCCGCCTGTGTCCCCTAACCTCGCGCCTGTAGCTGTGTCCTGGGTAACACTGGTCTGGCCCTGCCCAGCAGCGGAGGCCAGGTCAGTGCCAGCTCCCTCACGTCCACTCCCGTGCCCCACAGGCTGTGTCATCACCATCTCCGGCCGCATGACCTTCACAAGCAACAAGTCCATGGAGATTGAGGTGCTGGTGGATGCTGACCCAGTGGTAGACAACTCACAGAAGCGCTACCGGGCTGCCAGTGCCTTCTTCACCTACGTGTCCCTGAGCCAGGAGGGCAAGCCGCTGCCCGTGCCACAGCTGGTGGTGAGTGCGCGGGTGCCGTTCTCCGGGTCCATGCTGTGGGGAGGCTGTGAGCACGGAGTGGACACTGCAGCACCCTCTGGGGACCAGGGTGCCTGTGAGCACAGTGCCTGGGGTTCCAGGGGTCATACGGGTGCTAGAGGAGGGTGAGGACTGTGCCTCAGGTCCCCTGTCCTCCTTCCCCTGCCAAGGGACTGTGTTTTCTGAGGTGTCCTTGGTCTGCGTGTCCTGCCAGATGGGGCCAAGCCAGACTGCTGGGCTGCAGGGCGTCTGGGCTTCTTTCTCTCTGCCTCAGCTCTAGGCGTGGCTATGCCCTGTGTGTGCACTGTCTGTGCATCCCAGGGATGTGGCCAGCATCTTCTCACGGAGGCTGAGGGTCCCCCTCTTGGCCAGCACCAGGCCCCCATCCTAACCCTAACTCAGACCCAGTGCTTCTCACTTGGGTGATGCTTCTGGGACCAAACGGAGTAAGCGGGCAGAAGCAGGGTGCTTGGGCACAGTGGGCCTGTATGCCCAGCAATGTCTGTCTGTCCTGCTGGTGCTGGGTGACCATCGGAACTCTCCTCTCCTCCCAAGGCCAGGATGCACTTGTCACTGGCAGCCTTGGTCCCTGTGTCTGCTCAGTTCTTGGGCAGGGCTGGGATCACCGGCTCCTCAAACTCTCAGACCCCCCGAGGCCAGTCTTACCTGGTGGTGGCTGGGCTGCCTCAGCCCCCCAGTGCCGTCTCTCCTGCTCCTCACCTCCATCCTCCTCCCTGCCTTCCTCAGCTCTGCTGGCCTTGGACCCACCTGAGGCTCCACTGTGTCAAGCTGGTCCCAAGTCCTTGCATGGTCCTGTCCAGGGACTGTGGGCACGAGGGCCAACCATGAACCCGGATTTCAGCCTGGTGGGCAGGCCAGCCCTGCGTAATTTCTCCCCAGTGCTCTTGACTCCCTGAGGCCAGGCGGGCTGGGGCTGGCACCTCACCCTAGGGGCCTTGTACAGCTGGGAAGACCTCTCTGCCTCACTCTCCCTGGAGGCAGAGCCTGAGGGGCTGCAAGGAGGGTGTCTGTGCCATGTCCACCTGCACCCATGGCCTCCATGACCTCAGTCCTCGGCCCCACAGCAGACTCCCTGCCCCGGGCCTGCCGCTGTCCCCCATCCCGACTGCTGAGCACCCCCCCATGCCCAGGCAGCCCAGGTGCCCCCTACCCACCCACTGGACTCTGGCTCACTCATCTTGGGTGCAGAGCGTGGCTGACCAGAGGACTTCTATTTCTAGAGACTTGTGTCCCCAGTCAGAGCAGGCAGCAGCCCCAGTGGAGGTGGGACGGGCACATGGAGTTCCTGGGGGCAGGGGCAGGGTACCCGCTAGAACAGAGGACATGGCCACTCTGTCCCCTAAGTGGGGACTCACTCGAGGCTGCTGTCACGTGGATCCAGCTGTTACTTTTCGCTCATTAAAGATGGTCTTTGATTCCTCACGGAGGTGCCCTGGGACCCACGACGACGCCAAAAATAGTCTCTGGCAGGGCTGGCGGGGCCAGTGCTCCCCGCTCCCCAGAGAGAGCTGCTCAGCTCCACCTCGACAGCACAAGTGGGCCGTGTGTGGCTACAGGGGTGCATGTGCTACCCCTCGGCTCCCTTCCCCACCCCTGCCAACAAGTCTTCATCCTCTGCCTATTTTTAGCTCCCTCCCTCCGGGCCTGGCTGACACGGAATGCGGCCTTTCTGTGCGCTGTTTCTTGATGAATATTTGATGCGGGCAGGACCTGCACACCACGTTCCCCAGCAGCTGCACAGCGCTTTCCGGGCTGAGGATGGGAACTGGCACCAGTGCAGGACCCCAGGCTGTGGGTGTGGGTACCAGGCCTACATGTGGCAGTGCCCTCTGGGTGGGGGGACAAAGGCCCCAGACCACTGGCCACGGCTGGGAAGAGGGCCTGCGCTCAGAGTCGGTGTGGACCCACCTCTGCAGCACAGGACCCAAGGTTCCCTGAGCATCTAGCAGTGGGCTGGCCAGCCCGCCGTGAGTGGTCTTTCCTGCATCCAGGAAACCAGGCTGAGTATGCATTGGTGCCAGTCAACTCCCAGCCCCTTGTGTGGGCAGCACTCACCCCAGTTGTCCTAGAAGAGGGTCCCACTGCCCTGAGAGCCCCAGGATGGCCCAGGGCATCAACCGGAGGACTTGGACATCCAGGCCTGAGTCTGAAAGGCTGTGTCCTTGCAGTGCATATTTGCTGTGTGCTTGAAGCAAACCCATAGCAGGAGGGCCAAGCCCTGTACCAGCCGCCCTGCCCAGAAAGAGCCTCCCCTCCAGCCAGGGTGCCTGGTCACCTGCCTGCCTGGGAGTGAGATACATCTTCACATTGGAACAGTGCAGAGGAGGCTCTTCTGTGTCTCCTCAACTGTAAATGCTGGTCTCCAGCAGTGCCAAGGGTGGTGGTAGCCCTGTGCCAAGTACCCAGCCAGAGGTGGGAAGGTGGTGCCTGTCAGGCCCTCAATGTAGCTGTCTTCTGGAGGAGGATGGGATGCCATCTCCGAGCGGCCTCCTGACAGGGAGCAGGTGTACTGGGGTCCTTGTGCCAGTCACAGGCCACCGAATTCCTCAACCTTCGAGGTTCACCTGGTCCATGCAGTGCTTCCGGAGTTAGGGTGGGCTGACCTGTCCTGACAGGATGGGGGCAACCAGGACCCCCCATCAGAGGGTGGCTCACTGCAGGTGTGGCCTGAGGTGGCCCATCTTGGCTTGAGCTGGGGGACTTGTCTGAGACATGGCTCTAGCCAGGGCCTGGGAGGCAGCCTCTGTGCCTTGGCCCCTGCATGCCGCCCTGCTATGCCACGCATCATCCCTACCTGACCCGGGGGCCACATCAATGACTGCTGGTTTCAGCAGTGATGTGGCCCGAAGGCCCTGGCACCTCTGTGCTGAAGCAGGGCACAGGGCAAGCTTTCTATCCTGTTACCTCAGCCCAGCCTTGGGCACAACACACAGAAGCGCTTGGGATCCCCCCATGTGCCCGTCCTCCCCAGCCAGGTGGAGAGGGAGGCTGCCGTCCATGGTGGACTCAGCCTGAGCGGATGCTTTGGATTTGAGGATGACCATGCCACAGGCTCTTGCAGACCGTGAGGCGTGCACCCAGTCCTAGAGAGTTTCATGACCAAAAGAGCCATTGGGCACTGTGTGGCCTCTGCCAGCCCCATATGGACCTGCCTGGGACAGAATATTGTTACCACCCCAGCCCTCAGCTGCCCCCAGTGCTCTCTTTCAGTCACCTCCTATGCCGGGTGAGAGTCTGGAGGGTTTCTTACTTGCTGGCTGATGCTGGAGTCGGGTTTCTGAAGGGCAGCAGAGTGCTACCTGTCCCGGAAGGGCTGGGGACCAGGCACTCAGCAGCCTCACTGGCAGCGGCTCACAGCATCTTCCTGGAGGTCTGTGTTGGGATAGGGAAAAGCCAGCCTCCAGAATTACCCTGCCACCTGCTCCCTTGGTGCTCAGGGACTTGCAGTGAGCACCGTGTCCCCTGGAATCAGGTCAGTGGAGGTGAAAGGGTGCCACAGCCCTTCAGCCCTTCAGCAGCCCAGGGTTTTTCCCAGCTGCCTCTGCCCTGTGGGTTGCCCAGGTTTAGAGAGCTACATACTATCCGTCCTTCCCCACTGGCATACAGGGTCTGCTCTGTCCCATGGTCCATTGCCCCGAGGTGCCAAGTGGACAGCTGCATGAGGTGCAGGGGATGAGAGCACTTCTGATTCCACCAGGGCCACCTCGGAAAGGGGAGGGAGAGTGGCAGCAGGAGCCCAGCAAGGGCCGGGCCACAGGACTGTGGTTTGCATCAGGGCAGGTGTGCCTGGTGCATGCTGGGGAGCGTGACGGGTCACCCCGGGGCAGAAGCCCGCTAGGGCTGGACACGCTTGAGAGCCAGGCTTAAAGGTACAGTAGCCCCTCTGTGTGCCAGGGCACACACAGATCCTCGACAAAGGATCCCCGCCAGCCTCGGAACTTGTGCTTTGGTGGGTGGCTGTGTCTTTGTACTTTTGGCCACACTGCAGCCCTGCCAGGCCCTGGGGGCCAGCGCCTTGGGGAGCAGGGTTCATGGAGCAAAGCCCCTGCTGGACTCTGTCATGCAGATCTCACCCATGTGAAGTCTCATGTTCCCTATTTGGGTCATTCATTGGACAAAGACCCCTCTTTCCCAGGCCCAGTACTGGCCTCTAACCATAGCAAGGACTGCAGGGCACAGATGGGTCAAGGCCCTGATGGAGATGCAGGCTGGCTGGGCCACACTGCTGGCACGCACTTGGCAGGCTGGGTTACAATCTTGGTGATACTAGAGATTGAACTCAGGGCCTTTGCACTAAGCTACATCCCTAGACCTATGTTTATTTTTGAGACAGTAACACACCAGCCCAGACTGGACTCAAACTTGTGATCCTCCTTACTCTGCCTCTCAGAGTGCCGAGATGATAGGTGTGCCCTGCCAGAGGACAGCAGGGTGTGACAAGCCTATCTGCAGGAAGGACCCAGGATGCCCGCCACTGGGCCTGAGCTCACTGCCCTCCACCCTTTGCCACACCGGCCCTCCTCTGCCGCTGCTTTTGGCTCTGCCTGGAGTTCCTTGGTCACTTGTGGGAGCATTTTATAAGTCTGGGCAGGTACCACCGCATGAGGGACCCCTGGCCAGGTGCTAATGCTCCCTATAGTGGTCTCATTACTGAGACTGCTGCCCCAGAGATCCAAATGGGCACAGTGGAGGAGTGGCCGGCCCTGCCCAGG